ATGAAAGATGGCACGGAAACTGTTAATACTCAATTTTATTATTTTAGACAAGATTTCAAACTATTATGAATTAGTTTAATCCAATTTAGATTAACCCTTCAGTTGATTGGACTGAAGGGCTCGGTCTCAGGGTCACATGTCAGCTCTTTGTGCAGATGCTTTGACGATGTCTAGTCATGTAGCTTTAAGTCAAGTAGTGGATGGTGATTAGCAGTGGAATTCAGGTTGGGCATTGGGCACTGGATTCGAGCCTTTGTAGGAACACCATCACTCACTGGGGAATGTAGGTAGGTATGACCAGATGACGAGACCCAAATAGGATGTAATGCACATCCTGGATTCCACTGTTAGTTACCATTCACCAACTGACTTCAATTTGCATCATCACAAATTAGGTTTATTTCATTTTATTCATGAGAAGCAGAGAAAAAGTCTTATTGTTTCTTAAATGAAATAGCTAATTCTATTACTAAAGAAAATATAACATTTCAGAAATCAGTACTAGCTATTGTATTGATAAGTGTATAAAACTCCTAAGGAAGGAAGTTGAAACAAAATAATTACAAAAAAAATGGTAATACAGTGATGTGCATTAGCATGTAACCCAGTTGACATGTAGCTTTGTTTTGACGGAAAATTGGCATAGAAATGAGAAAAAACATGATAAAAAGACGGTGTCAGTAGTGTACGAAATAAATATATCATTTTTAGAAATAACAAAAGAAAGAAATGTTTCCTTTACTCAAATTGCTTTTCAATATTTTTTCAGGGTATAAACTAAAAGCATGTAGGTAATGATTGTAGGGAGAAACAGTAAAATTATAAAAGTATATCAGAAACGCGTTTTTGTATGAATAATTTTTTTTACTTTACAGCTCTGCAAAAGTCTGGTGGATAAATCAGTAACTTGCATAAGACACATTTTATGGGATTATATGATTCTATACTTTTTGTATCCAAGTTTTATCTACAAACTTGTATGTTCAACAAGTTTGAATGAGCTCACAACATATATTACTTAAATAATATAAATATAAATATTGGGACGTGGAATATTTTTACAGTCTACGAAGCTGGGAAGGCTGCACAGGTGGTCAGAGAAATGAGAAACTAAGGAATGGAATTGTGAGAAATCTGCGAAAGCAGGTGGAATGGATTTGGACTATCTAAATTTTTAACTAGAGCGTAAAAATCCTGCTCAGGTCACCCAGACGACATGCACGAGCACACTGAGGGAGTGGCCAACATGATATTACCAGCAGCAGCCAAAGCTCTTGTGCAGTGGGAGATGACTTCCTCCAGAATAATGGCAGCAAGATTCAACTCTAAAGGAATGAAGGAAGGCTACAATTATCCAATGCTACGCACCTACAAACAACTCAGAGTAAAAGAAGAAGGAAGATTTCTACAGAAAATTACAAACAGTGATAGACAGCATCCCATACCGAGACATCAAGATCCTTATGGGGGTTATGAATATCAAGGTGGAAGCAGATAATACAGGAAGAGAACTGATCATGGATTGAGAGGCTGTCGCTCGGGGAAGTGAATGACAATGGAAAACTCTTCGCATACTTCTAATCTTTCGATGATCTGGTGATTGGGGCAGCGTGTACAAACACAAGGATATGCACAAATCAGCATGGATCTCACCTGAAGGACACACCATGAAACAGACAGATTTCGTCTCAGTGCTGCTCAAAGAAGTGGAGACACAACTAGTATGCTTGATACAAAGTCAAGAAGGGGAGCAGATATGGGCTCAGACCATCATTTGGTCCAAGTAGGCTTCTAGGTGAAGGTGAAATCCCTCAAGACAACTGGAAACAAGCCACAAATTAAGTTCAATATTCAGAAACTGAAGGACAAAACCACAAGCAATGTCTTTACTACAGAGTAAAGTAGGAGACATTACATGGTATCACTGAGGAGAACTGCATGGAAGAACATTGGAATTCTCTGAAGGTGATATCCAAGGAGACGCGTACAAATATTCTGGGAAGAAAGAAGAGACAATACAGTGAATGGCTCTCAACAGATACCTGGAAGCTAATAGAGGCAAGGAGGATGGTGAAAGAAAAGATGACTCAATGCTAAGATGGGCAACAGAAAGAGGAGCTGAGTTCAAAGTACGCTGGACTGAATAAAGAAGTGAAGAAGGGTGCTAGGAAAGACAAAATAAAATTCCACGACACACTGCCTTGTAACTGAAGCAGAACAGGCAGGTAAAAGAGACCTCAGAACACCATATCATATAACCAGGTCGCTATCTGGGAATATATTAACGCAGAGGACACCTATAAAAGATGGTTAAGGGAAGCTAAACCACCACTGCGAACGGTGTGGAAGGAGGGAAAAGTATCTAATGATTGGAAGAAAGGCTATCTTGTAAAACCACTGAAGAAGGGAGACTTATGCCTCTGTAAGAACTGGCGCGGCCTCATGCTCTTGTCCACACCAAGTGAAATATTAAGTCACATCATCCTGGAGAGAACAAAAGATGCATTGGATGCAGAACTTCAACCGGAACTAGCTGGATTCAGTAAACATTACTGTATAACACTGTGACACTTTATCAAAACAAAAATTTACCCATAGTGGAATTACACTCTACCACAGTGCACAAGTCTTATTCTTATATCAATGGATTCAGGAAAGGTAAATCATTTGCAGATCAAACCGCAACTCTACGCATAACCATCATCGAACAAAGCATAGAGTGGCAGTCAAACCTCTTTATACTTCAATTTCATTGACTTCGAAAGGGCCGTCAGTAGAGTTGATCGAGTAGTATTTTGAAAACTACTTCAGCACTATGGCGTGCAGTGCCCAAATCTTTATCAACCTCATTCGACAGCTATATGATAATGCTGCGTGTCGGTTGATTCACAACGGAAAACTCTGAGAAGCCTTAGAAGTGAATACAGGAGTAAGACATGGCTGCTCATTGCTGTCACCGATGACATTCCAATTTGTGGTGGGCTGGATTATACGTTAAACTGTGCTTTGGAGCGAGAAGACAGGAATATACTGCACTGACCGATGAGAAGACGCTAAAAGATCTGGACTTCGTGGATGATTTATGTCTATTGTCATATGAACACGAAGACTTACAGGCGGTAACCAACAAGTTGGCACAAGAAGTAAGCAGCGAAGAGAGGAATTAAAGTAAATATACAGAAGATAGAGGTGATGAAGATAACCGACCGACCAACAACAATAGACATCAACCACTAACAACAGGAGTTACTTGAAAGAAGTTACTTCTTTCCCCTACCTAAGAAACATTGTTTCAACCACAGACTCCCGTACAGATGGGGATTTCAAATGCAGGATTGGATAAGCAAGACACACCTTTATCAATCTGAAATGAGTTTGGAAATCTACCTCACCCAGGATAAAGAACAAGATACAGATATTTAATACCAGTGTTGGGTCATTTCTTCTATGTTGGTCAGATCCTTGCACTGCTCGTCAAGAAAAGCGTTTCCAACAGGCCACTTCGGACTTTTATCAGCAGTTGCATTCGCTGCCTCCATAATGAAGATAAAATGACAAGAAACGATCAGCAACAAGAAACTCTAATAACGAACTAACCAAGAGTCTATTTCCCAATAAATATGCTGAAGAAAAAGGAGATGCTTCGGACACACACTGAGGGCGCTAGGCTATGGCTCGAGTTGAACCCGAATGGGAAACGAAGGACGAGGTGTCCAAGGGTGACATGAATGAGACTGTACGACGAAGAGGCGAGAGGTTATGGGCAATCATGGGGCCTGCTAAAGAGGACCACAGAGAATAGAATAAAGTGGAGATGTGCTGAAGCCTAAACTTTAAACTCTAAACCCAAGGAAAAAGCAATGTAAGAATAATGGATAATTAATAGATAAGAGTCAGTCGGTGGAACCGCTTCCGTACTGATATTCATCAGTAAAGCATTTCTGTAACCTTGAATAAATATGTACTTTATCAAAGACACAGACAGTTCCTGTTGTGTGCTACAACCAGCAACTCTGTCAGCAGCGTAATTAGTAAACTTCAGTTAACTAGTTAAATTGATCATTACCTATAGACCGATTATCATGTGCCACTTATTCCTGGGAAAAATTAATCATGACCTTAATAATCCTTAACTTTTAACTTTGAATATAGGTCAGTTTATAATAATTAGTAATAATCCCGTTAAAATACTTTATACAAAACGCTGATTTACCAGTCACGGATGATATTTTAGTTCTTTCAAGACTGTACATAAATGTACTGCAAATCTGAGCCCCAACAGAGATTTCCAAAAATACCTCCAGGATATAAAGCCATTTAGCCATCAGTATTCGACACCAAATCGCGCTACCATCTTACCATCGTATTACTCATTATCGTATTGCTCAGAGGTCATATTAGAAGGTTCATAACTTATTTATCAACACACTGAACTTATTTAAACTACTGTTACTCTGTTACTAATTCAAGTAAAACGATCTTTTACTTCCTAATGAAAAACAACCAAACAAAGCAAACTGAAGGTGTTTATTTTTATAAATTCGTTTTAGTGGAAACAGTATATTCAGTATCTTTACTAAGCATAGTTTTTAAAACTGATTTCTTTCCAAAATCATTTAAAATTAACATTACATCTGTTGATTTTAAAAATCAACAACTGTTTAATAATGTTCATGTGTTAAAATTTTAAACATTTCGACATCGTGAACGTCTTCATTTGGTTCACTACCTACACTGCAAGTTTATAACACATGATTAAGCCATATGTCTTAAAAACATGATCATCTCTAGTACTTTTAACATTTTAAAAGATTTTAACCAAACTTTATCTTCACTTTGATTTTAGATTATTACTTAACGTGTATAATGATAAATTCCCCACACAAAAAAAACATGTCTTGTATTTTAACAATTTTGGCACAAAATGGAAATTTCCATTCTGTACTAAATGTAGAGATGAAACTTCATAATGCACAGATTCTTTCTACTATATAACTTACATAAGATTACGATGACATTCAGCAATTTTCTTTAGCATATCTTCACTGGGTTGATTCAATAGGTGTAAGCCAATCAAGTAGGAATGATCCTGATAGATATCCTCTAGAAAATCACCGACTTTAGCTAGTAATACAAAGAGAAAACGAAGGGAAGTATGTAACAGGTTTTTAGTAATACAATCAATAATCCACAAAACTGTATGATAAATCCAAAATATTCGTATTTATTTGAATTGTTCTTTATTAATTATAATATTTCCTAGTAAGTGTTCATGATTGATTACATTTAAGAAAATTAGTATTGTTGTTGAGTCGGTGGCATAGCGGTTAGGATGCTCGCCGACCATGCACATGGTCCGGGGTTCGATACCCGGCCGACGCACTCCTTTGCCTCACTAAGCCAGAAATAATGCTAGTAAAGAGTAAAGGTTGGGCATGAGGCTAGCAACCCCATCCTGTAAAATAAACACTGCTACAGAAACTTCAAGCCACTAGCTTGAGGCCCTATGCTTACTGGGGAACGTGAAGGAAAAAAAAGGCATTGTTATTACAACAGTAGTGATTATACCAGCAATTAGGAAAACAGACAAGATAATAATAATGGTCTCTGAATGCTGTCTGTTATTTGTCTAAGACATGATACATATCTCAGAGATTTTATAGTATTATTATTAAAAGAGAATGATATGAGGCATTATGAACAGGTAGTGTTTCGCGTTGCTGAATCAATGCGTCAGCAATTTATTTATTTCTACTAAAGTTCGTGTTTATCATAGTGTATATTTTTATGACGATTGAACGTGTGGATTTCTTAGGGAAGAAACTTACCCTTACTTATCAGCATATATATGCAAACATTACCTTATGATATGTCAGTCAAAAGATGAAGTTGAATATATATATATATATATATATATAAACGTCAAATGGTAGTAAATAATGCCTACAGCTCTGTCGTCTGTAAACCCAATAAACCTAATGTAATTTATTTTATGACTTTTAAAAACACATGAAATAAAAATATTACCACTGACTGAAGTATCACTGTGAAAATTTGCAGAGAGGCGCATCAGTTCAGGTTGTTACATTCTTAAGAAAGCATTAAATGAAACACAGAGATGTAATTGTTGTGCAATTGAAAAAAATATTTGTACCAGGAAGAGAACATTTAGAAGGTGGTTAAAGAAAATCCACAAAAACTGGGGGATGACTTGATGTGAATGGTCTTCACCTATATCACTGAAAGCTTTCGACCATCAATTCCTATCATCCGTACAGCTTGAGCCAAACAACTTACCCTTCTACAAATGGTTCAAAAAAACGATATCTTAGTTTATAAATTGCTGTTATGTTTCGTTCTGACTTTTCATAACTCTCCCATCTAATCCGACTTGAACTTATATTACCCATTGGGAAGAGTGATGGTCCGGAATATGTAACAGATTTCTTGGTCATCTCAACAGATGACGATTAGCAACCACATCAACTGATTCAACACTTTATGGTCGGTTTCACCATCACTGCTCCACATAACTCCATAACATACAGTTAAGAACTTTTAGTTTTTTCCCCTTTTTCTGCTTTCAGCTCCTATTTCTCAAAAACTCGAGGTACTGATGAACAAGAGGCTGCATACTGCACACACCTTTCGGTGAATCAATGAATGTCATGATGAAAGTTGGTAAATGCTAAATATGCCTTCTGTATCCATACTGGAACTTTTGTCGGCAACCTATGCATTATGGTAAGTGCAATTTCCCACACCCTCTCCTTAAGCTGGAAGTAGGTACAGTCTAGTTCTGTAGCATTATCATGCATCTGATAGAGATGAAATGAATATCAGATAATCAGATTTTCACTAAGATTGTTTAAAAGACTTAATTTTCACTAATTTCTTTTACGTTATGGGGCTACTTCACTTGTGTACTTTTTATTAATATGACATTTACTTAGTAGCTAGTGAATTAATAAAACAACAAAGTTTGTGTGACTCACACAGATCCATCTGCCTACGATAAAATTAAATAAAAATAGTAGCTGCAGACATTTCGTATTAAAAAAAACACAGTGGCTATCGTTTTCACAAGCTCATTAACGTCTGCATGTGGTCGAGTACACAGCTTTGATTAGCACACTCTCCTTACTATCACTAAATACATAGTCGAACATTACCACAGCAACTCTTCACCGACACATTCTAATACCACCTTAAAATAAGAAATATGAGGAAGGCCAGACGCTATTAGGTATTCAGAAGTTGTGGGAGGATAACATTCGATCAATGAAGCATTGTTTTGGCTGCAACCTTGACTTATTTCTTTGGGTCTTCTATTCTCCAACTTCATCTGTTCTTTATATGCTTGTGTACATTGAACGTAAAAAACTGTATTATGACAGGAATATAAATCTCCCTCTTAAATAACCTGGAATTGCCAGCGGTCTACATTACTCTGATGTACAAAAACGTTTCTTTGAGAAGCTTTTAAAGCTTCATCCTCTTCAGTAAGTCTTTATAGTTGACGGGTAATTTCTACTGTTATTCTCCTCCACATTTCCTTCGTTTCTTCACAAACACTGTGAGACAGTCTACTTCTGAGTAAATCCTAATCCTCCTCCTCGATCGGACTTTTTTGCAGTGATCAGTTTAAATGGGAATAAAAATAGCCTGTGGCTGTTAACTGTTTTTTATACATATGCAACCCTGATATTTTCACAATCAATTGTACTCTCAGAGGCTTTCCATGTGCTTTTTCCTACATTCATTCAATAAATGTTCAAAGCGACAAATTATCTTTATTTTATTGATATTTAGCGTAAAAGATACTTAAAGCCATGACATCATTGATGTCAAAATCTTAGTAAGATACAATCTTTTTCTTCTGTTAGCTGAATGGAAAACAATGTCTCGAAAGAAAAATCACTTGATAATTAAATAAAAGAACTATGCATTTAAGAGAACTACTGAAGAAGATAGAAAATTTAAGGTATTTATGATTTTATATTGCGAATTGCTTAGTGTTAACCTAAAGCAATTTGTTTTCATACTTAAGACAGTTTTCCAGCTGTAAACACGATTTGTTTATCATAAACAAATCGTTAAAAATAATATGGTGGATAAATACCGTAGATTTTATCAATTCCACTGGCTTTCTCAGTCAGATATCTATTTTGAAGTCGAAAAAGAAAACAGCCAAATTAGAAATCAGAAGATAAGAAAAACAGCATCATCAAAAGCATTTCATCAATAGCTGCCTTCGCTGGTTCAATACTGAAGAACAGATGGCTAACCAGAAAGAATTAACAACAAGAAACTGTAGGAACAAGCCAGTCAAGAACGTTTAGCTCAGCAAATATTCCGAAGAGAATGGATATGGATCGGATGCACACATTAAGAAGACCATCGGGAGACACCTCTCGTCAGACACCATTTCGAGTGAAACCTGAGTGTGAAATGAAGAGTTGGTCATCCGAGGGCGATATGGAGGAGATAAGAGACTGTGTGCATTCGTGGAGCCAGCTAAACAGGACTGCAGAGAACAGGAGAAAGTGGAGATGTGTTGTTGAAGCTCTATATTCCACTCGGAATCCAAGAAGATGATAATAATAATTAATTATACATAAAGTTTACCAATGATGACTGAAAATTTGGCACATAGGTGTAGACATTCACTCACTAATACATTATCTGAATATAAAACGACTTAGAGATTGACCAGTTACCAGTTACCTGCTGTAACCTACTGGTCACAGCATCCTACTAGAACCACGGTAACTGATAATGAATCTGCTGCTCATTAGCAACTAGTTCTATCCAGGTAGTGACCTGGGGTTCTAGTAGGAAGCCGTGACCAGTAGGATAGAGCAGGTTGAAGGTGAGACTGTAATTCATCGAAGAAGACACTGCAAAGTGGTAGCACCGTGTCACGAATTGGCAGAAGTTGGAAAACATGGACTGTCCTTTGGATCGGGTTGCAGTGGCTTGACGGCATACGAGCTCACCTTCTGACCAGAAAATCCTGGGTTCGAACCCCTATTGTGGGTGCGTTCCGATGGGGAGTCCCAAACTAGGCTGACGAAACAGGTTTCCAGTACTCTCTCTTCGTTTTCCAATGGTTCCCTAACTGATGCCAACTCGTGATCAAATCCTTCAACCAGTTATATTCCTACAAAAACCTATACATGCCTACATTCCCTAACAAGCGAAAATATAGAAATTACTCGATACAAACACTAAACTTACTCAAGCTTACCAGTATGAGGTAAATAACTACAAATTATTTCTTGATAGCTTAGATTAATAATCACTAATAGATTTCTTTCAACATGATAGAAAATACTCGTAGCTAAATATACTGAGGTTATTTTGAAGTTCTATGAAGTGCTATTATTTTTAACTATAGGTTACATGAATAACCCAGTCATCTTTAGTGCAGTTTGATACATTTGTGGAGGAAACACTGAGTGAAAGATTGACCATTATATTGTATAATAGCCAAAGTAAAACTGTTGCTCATTTTCAAGACGTCTAGCCAACACTTATATTCTGAAACTTATCTGATAATAGTTAGTTAAGTTCACCTATTCTGTCTGTACAGTGGCAGTCGCAAGTAGTTTGTTTCATAAATATGTCCAATGATTTCTCATTTAAAAGACGTAAAAACAAGAAAAAGCATTGCAAACTTACTAACACTATTAAGTATTTACCAAAAATATAATGTAGATATGGTAGTGGTGAATAAGCGTAAATAAAGAGTTGTGTAAAAATCAGAATAGTTGAAGAATGAAGTTTTACTCAAATCCTCAAGAAAAGAAGAAAGAGATAGTACTGCGAAAAAGAAAGCGTTGGATGAAAGAAGTAGAAGGTATTTTAACAGTAATGTATCACTACCATAAATGATAAGGAGATTAAACAAGTTTCTGGTGTATATAAAGCAGTAAGTTTCCACTTCTGATGGCTAAAGCCTCAACCATACTGAAAGAGGGGACACATAGTGATTTTAGTAGTTTATTTTTCACCTTGTAGATAACTTTAAAATAAGAGTGTGGTGAGAGCAGGCCGTGAGAAAATATGAGCAAGGCTGATTCAACAACCAATCACAGCAAAGTTAACGTGGCAAAATATGA